CATTAATCGATCGATCAAATGATGCTTGTTTATATAGATTAACGCCCACCGATAAGAAAAGCAAAAAAAAAAAAAAACAAGAAAGAAAAAAAAAAATTATAAACATGATGAAAACCCGTATTATTTTGTTTTATATACGAGTGAGATAGAGAAGAGACGATATCAGTCAGTGTCAGTGATACATACCGTCCTCGTGAGTTCTGACCGAGATAGGATAACTCGGGGGCCCATCACCTACGCTCGTTCCCGCCAATACCCAGATCCGATATTCTGTCCACTTTTTGAGCTCGTCCAAGACGAATCGCGTCTGATTCAGTTTGATAACCTTCGCCTCGGAATCGGAGCGTCCGCTCTCGACGACTTGTAGTTTGTAGTAAGCGATCCTCCCATTGGACCGTTCGGCAGGTGGTGGTTCCCATGTGACCAATATGGAGGTCGGGCTGATCGCTTGGCCGCTTACATTGCGAGGCGGAGCCCCGGGGACTATATAAAACTCGATTATAGGGATGGGGAAAGAAACTCAAAATTGGATTTGTCGTTACGACGATTCACGACCGAACGCTAAGTATCCAACGAATTTCTTATTTCGATAAGAGACGTCGGGATCGACGATGGTCTTCTTCTTCTTTTTCCATTTTTTTTTTTTTCTTTTTTTTTTCAAGCGAAAACAAGAAAGAAAAAGAGGGAAAGGGAGAGAGAAGGTAGTAAAAAATAAAACAGCCCTCCATCTTGTATTTAACCACTTGCGCTATAAAGACGTGCCACGCACGTCGTGTATGATGCATTTGTCCCAAAATCAAAAGCGACGTGTATACCACGTCGATAAGCAAACAAATGTCTGTCATGTCGGCTAATAAGTTAAATCGTAGTAGTGCAAGTGGTTAATGAAATCCACGGGGGAAGGGAAATAGAGCGTAAGAGGAAAGACTACCGATGACCTTGACGAGATTCTAATCGAATTAGAAAATCGGCATGCGTTGGATCGTAATCGTCGCACGAAAAAAAGGGGGAACTCTCGTTAAACGAAAACGATGATGGTTGGTTTAATATATCTTGTTAATTTTCGTAAAAGGGGTTTTCTTATATTTTCTTTTCTTTTTTTCTTTTTTTCTTTTTTTGGTCTTTTTTTTTTTGAACGGATAAAAAGTGGCTCAAGGAGTGTGAGTAAAGTAGAACATAAACGAAAAGAAGAAAGTATAACATGTCATTAAAATCGATCCTTGAACAGTCGAAAAGAAGATTACGTGATTAGAGTACGTTGTTCTCTCAATTTTCGACAATAAAATGTTGTCGAAGGTTATTATTAGAGGATTAACGTCGTTAATTTCTAACGCAAAGGTATAGATTGATTTATGCTTGATAATGGGGATAAATTGGGCGCCGAATCAACGACGTTATCCTTTTTTATTTTTCATTTTTCCTTTCTTTTTTTTTTTTTTTTCTTTTTTTTTTTTTTTTTTTTTTTCCTTTTGTATTTTTTTTTTTGTTTGTTTTTTCGCTTTTCTCTTATTTATATATATATATATATGTATATATTATATATTACTATATGTATATTGTAATATAGTATATTATATATACATATATATATGTATATATAATTTATAATTATTTAACGAGGGACAGAAAGTACGAAAAAATGAAAATAACGGACGTAAATTATATGTTATCGAGAATGAAAAGAGGTGCCCAAAATGCACACATATATTCGATGCAGTGCTTAGTGCAATTTATATGTAATGATATGTACGTATATATATATAGATATATATAAAGTGGCATCCAAAAACGGCTTTCTTAATTTGCAACGCATGCAGTCATTCTCACTCTCCCACGCTTCATCACGTTTCCAACGATTTCTATTCTCCCTCTCCATATTATATTTTATATTAGATTTTATAATACGTGTAATATACATACGTATATTTCTCGTATTACATTTTTTTTCCTTTTTTTTATTATTATTATTTCTTTTTCTTTTTTTTTCAATTTTTTTTCATTCTTATCCTCGTATATATAAATGTTTTCTAATATCTCTCTCAAAAAAAAAAAAAAAAAAACGAATCCTATTTCTATCTTTTATTTTTCACATTCTTGCATTATTTAATTAGAATTTTTTTTCTTTTTTTTTTCAATAATTTTATTTCACTCGACTTTACTATCATTGTACTTAATTATATTGTTGTTGAATATTTTCTTCTTTTTTTTTTTTCTTATGTTATCTTTTTTTTTTCTTTGTCTAATTACTCTCAACTCTAACCGTACGATGATTACTTTTAATTACTTTTTTTTTTCCTTTCTTTTATTTTCTTTTTTCTTTTTACAACGAGATTATACTGTATTGGAATATAGTAAGAAAAAGGTGTTTGTTTGTGCATCAATAGAGATAATATAATAGCTTACGCTACTTTTGCGGGAGCGTCTAGCGCTACAGCATCTCCTACCTGCTGTGCCAAAACGATTTTTTTCAACGATCGTGCAAGGGTGAAACGCATTTCGTGAGCAAAAAAAAAAAGAAAAAAAAAGACATAAAAATGGTGAGAGTCACGATATGCATTAACCCCAGACGACCGAATTTCAAATCGACATGCAACTGGCACTCCTCGCTGCGTGAACTCACTCATTTCTCGATTCGGCTCTCATTTTTCTGCTTACCGTACTGTTTCGTGCGAACTGGACAAGGTATCGTCGTGGCACCCTCTCCTCGTTGACTTCTAGCAGCCAACCAGATGTAATAAAGCGTGTTAGGGTAGAGACCGGTCAAGGTATAGTTCTCGGTCACTGGTATTCTCCGATGATGTTTTTCCTTTTGATGAAAAACAAAAGAAAAAAATATGAAATTAATTTTACGACTCGTGGGTGATCGTATGAAGGTGAGGATTTATTAGCATAGATATGACCCGTATATGGGTTCTTAATAACGAAAGGGTTAAAGTATATCCAGACGTAATCGTAATAAAAGAAGTAATTTGTATTGTTTGAAGTATTCAATATTTCGAAAAGTTAATTTTTGTCGTTATAGATAAAATCATTTATAATTATAGATTAAAAGTTAGATATTTGTTTGTTTGTACCTTAGCATAAGTATCGTTCCAATAAAGCTCATAGCTGAGAATATTCTCGCTGCTATGAGCAGGTTTGCTCCAATGGAGCGTCACCTTGGTCTCCCCAACGTCAGCAACCGTCAACATCTCCGGTTGACTTGGTACCCCTTGTTGAGTTTTAATTTGAATAGGTGCACTTAAAGGGCCAGGTCCAACACTGGTAAGGGCTTGAACTCTAATGGTGTAGATGGTGTGAGGTGTTAGATCGGATAGGGTTGTTAACTGACTGTTGTCGACCATCTGATGTTGCCATGATGCCATTGGTTGATTCGGATCCATCGTGTAGTAAACCTTGTAACCCTAAACGAAATTGTATATGCATCGTTAATTATCTTTATTAAAATATTGTTATTATTTTATTTTGTTTCGTTTAAACGTGAAGATAATTGTAACAATGGGCATATAGTTTAATTATAAATTCAATTTTTTATTCATATTATTCCAATTATACTTTCAGTTCGAAATCTAACGCTTCATATACTTAACGATTTAATAATTTGACTAATTGAGATATTATTATATAAATTTAATGATATAAAATCAAATTTTGTTCGATAATTTGATTTATGTTAATTGACTTTAGTAATTATTGGCACAAATATTGTAAATTTGGTTGAAAAAATTGAAAAGCAAATATACCGTCACTTGACCGTTAGGAGTTTCTGGTTCGTCCCATTGTATGACCATCGTGCTAGAACTTAAAGGTCGGACCTGAACCTTTCTTGGCGCAGTACCCGGTTCTAAAATAGACAAAACTTAATTAAATCATTTCTCGAAAGATTATTCTATTTCAATTGAAACGTAATCAATCGATTGGTTGGTTAGTCACGCGAGAAAATGATATCAGAAAAAAAAATAGAGCCCTAGATACCAAATTATACATGACTAAACAAGAACGAGTGATTAAACAATAAAACTAAAGAACAAATAGAAAAACAAGAGAAAAAAACAAATAATCTACCCTTTGATCGTAATGAAATAAACACACAGAGAGACACGCACAGATACCAAATGAAAGGACACCCATGTGACGGCAATAAACCATGTGATCGACGTAGAAAAATAAGAAATGATTATTCAAATTAATTATACCCAACAAAATAAATAGGATAAAAGGAAGAAAACACATGTGTGCGTATATTCTACCAGTTTTACACATATACATTAATCAATTAATAATATAAGTACACGCGTGTGAATATAAGTGTGAACAGAGATGATTGAAAATGAAATAATTTTGTGTTGATAGAGAAATAGATGAAAATAAATATAAAACAAATAGAATACAAAAAATCAAATAATTAAGAAATGTTACTACGTCACTCTTAGAATGATAATCTCACTTACTGGCACCTCCATTTGTCGATTCCGCTATTGGGGGGGAGAGAAGAAGAAAAAACGTCAAAAGATTATTATCGATTATTCTCAAAATATGTCAAGTGACATCGGTGCATCGGTGGAAATACGAAAAAAATTATATTTCAATATTTGACAGATTTGAAAGAAGAAAGAAAAAAAAAACAAAACAAAAAGATTATAAATAAAAGTATCAGACACCAATGACAATTACAACAGCAAGGTACAACAAGAAAAGATGAAGAACAAGAAGAAGAAGAAATAGGAACAACGTACGTAATACATGAAAAATTAATGAATTTTCTTTTCGTTTTTCCACACGGATAAAGGGGGGTGTGAAGTGTGCTACTATACGGTTTTTTTTTTAAGGGGGAAAGGTGCAATTTCGCGTGCCGTCTCTCCGCAGATTCTTTTTTTTTTCAATCCTCTTTCTCCCTTTCTCTCTCACTCTCTCTCTTTCTCTCTCTCTCTCTCTCTCTCTCTGTATTTTATTTTATTTCTTTTTCTTAAATCTCACTTTTTTTTTTGTCCTTTCCCCTTCTCGTTCGAGGACACCTTTCAAAAATCAGTGATGAGAAGGTGTCGATACGATGAGAAGGGGTTAGGTTTCATGATTTTTAGCGGTGATTATAAATGACGATGATAATTATGATGATCATTATGACGATGATGATGATGATGATGACAATTATTATGATTGTTATGACGATGATAATGATGATGATAATGATGATGATGATGATGATGATGATAGTATAGGGACAAAAAAATCTTCAACGGGACGAGACGTTGAAGCGCGACGCGCCGAAACGGTCCAACAAAAACACACACACACACACATACCCACATTAATGCAAAGTGCTATAGAGAGAAGGGAGAGCAGGTGTAGTTGGTGATGGTGGTGGTAGTGATAGTGATAATAGTGATAGTGGTAGTGGTGATGCTGGTGGTGGTGGTGATGGTGGTGATCGGTTATAAAAAGGTGGAAAAAAATGTACTTGTCACTTACATGAACCAAATCGTGCGTCCACGGCGGGACAGCATGTAAAAAAAGGTAGAATTTCCCTCAAAAAATTTGTCAAAATTCTTTTTTTTTTTCTCTTTCTCTCTCTCTCTCTCTCTCTTTCTCTCTCTCTCTCTCTTTCTTTCATTCTCTCGTTCTCGCTCGCTCGCGCGACGACACAAAAAAGTTTCGCTACGTTCTACGTGCAAAAAATTTGTAAAACCCTTCTTTTTTTGTACCCCCTCCCCTCACCCCTTTATTTTTGTTAATTCTTTTTTTTTTATTTCTTTTTTTTTTTTTTCAACCAGGCTACCGTTATTCGTACCGAGATTAGTATGTCCCCTCGCGAGTAATCGTGTTGTTTCATTCGCGCGAGAGACGATCGGGAAGTGTTCATTTAAGTTTTTTTTTTTCTTTTTCCTTTTTTTTTTTTTTTTTTTTTTTTTTTTTTATTTAATATCTTTTTGTATAGTCGAACGTGCTATTTATGTAAGTGTATGTTAAATATATATACATATATGTATATATATATATATATGTATTGTATTTATGTATGAATGTATGTACTTGTAATATTTACACGTATTTAACGATTTTCTTTTCTTTTCTTTTCTTTTTTTTTTTCTATATTCAGATATATTTGCGTATATATGAGTGTATATATATTTACGTATTTATATGTATATATATTTAATTATAAATGAGTTTTGCTCTCTCGTGAAAGTGCGAAAATGAAAATGTGAATTATTCAAGCCTTGTTTTAGCTGTAGTCACTCGTATAATTATTTTGTACCTACTATGCAAGGACGAGATTTCGGTTCTGATAGAATTTTGTGATTTTAAATAAAAAAAAAAAAAAAAAAAGATAAAAAAAACATAGAAATGGCAGACAAAACGAGTGAGAAGTTGAAAACAAATCGAAATTTTATTTACATCGCATTGGAATTCTCGTCCTTATTTCAAATTCTCGTTTCTAATGAAAAATTTATATATATTATGTTTAATTATGTAATTATTTTTTTTTTAACAAATTGTTTTTTCCAATCATTCCTCGTTTTTCAAAACGCGTAAACAGAAACGAGAATATGAATCTGGGAGGAATAAAAAATTTTATATAAAGCTGCTGCAAACGTTAGGTAAAGGCTTTTTCCTTTTTTTTTTTTCTCTATGCAATATGCAATATGCAATATTATGCAATGAAAAAGAAAACGAATAAAAGAGAGAGTACGACGATAAATATAATTATATGTATTTCAAAATACATATAATATATATGTATAAAATACATATATATATATATAGGAAAAGTAAAAAAAAAAAAAAATAAAAAATGTTGAAAATAAGATTGATGATGATCGTTATATTTTACTGACTTGTTTCACCAGTGGTGACTGTCACCGGGGCACTTGGGGGACCACGGCCGATGTGGTTCACGGCTATCACATAAAGCTCGTACTCCGTGTAAGGACTAAGACTTCTGACGTGGTAATACATCGTTGTGATACCGGAAATCTCGGTGAACGGCTGATTAGCCTGTTTAGGTTTGTGTTGGATTACATAGTATTGCAATTCGTCTGGTCCCTTGTAGGACCAGCTTAACTTTACTGAAGTTGCAGTGATGTCGGACACTTGAATGTTTTCCGGTGGACTAGGAAGGGCTGAAGAAACACAATCATTCACATATTATATCATTATCAATATTTTTATATAATATATGATCATACAAATATAAGAAATATTTTCCATATCAGCGTTTATCAATTTACCTAAGACAAAAAGTGTCATATATTAAATCAATCCAAATATTTTATTCTTATAAAATTATCAGAAAGTGTGTTCAGTAAAATATAGATTTCAATCAAATCACAATTTATCGAGTTTCTTGGTTAAAGAAGATTGAAAATCGCTGATTTATGTATATGCATAAGAGTTTGCTTCTTCAATTCCCATCTCCATTTCTCTCTCTCTCTCTGTCTATCTCTTGAAAATGAGAGGTGCGAATAGAAGGAAAATTTCATCATCAGCATATACGATGGGCCGATAGTAACAGAAGCGTAAGCCGATCAATTAGCTATTAGGATTATACGTTAGTGTTGATGGAAGGTAGGACGACGCGTTGCTTCCATGATGGATGGGATTTATATTAGACGATCCATAATAAGTATGAATGAGGAATAGAAGGGGATGATGAGGGGTTTGGAGGGTGAGGTTACTTGATCGAAGGTAAGGTTAAGTCGTTGGAGTGACGTTAAGCATTAGAATACACATACACACACATATATATAGAAATCAGTATGGTAATTTCCTTCTATACGCACATTGAACTTTCACCATAGACGTGGCATGTATGACACCGATATTACTCGAAGCTGTACAAGTATAATTAGCCGATTCCTGAATGTCGGTCAGGTAAAGAACATTTTTGCCAACTGGAAGATTGTCGTCAGGAGTTATGTCAGTTGCTGGATCCTTTCGCCATTGTACAACGGGCATTGGTGCACCCACAGCAACGCAGGTCAGATTCAGGGAAGCTCCTAGCGTGACGTCGCTCACGGGTGGTGGTGGTATCGAGAAGCTCGGGGCAACTCGACGAACTAAAAGCAGAATACATTTTTAATGGTCGTCGTCACAACTCTTTTATTTCTCTCTTGATCCATCTGGGGAAGGGGAAGGGGGAGTGGAAGCTGGGCGGGATAGTATCGTTTGTACTGTTCGACCATGCTTCCGTAGTTTCATTTTCCTTTTTTTTATTTTTTATTTTTTTTTTTATTCTTTTTCGTATCCAACGTATTTTTCCAACCATTCGAACCGTTGAATCTTTTATCAACGCAGCAGGAAGAATCTCGATACTGGCAGAAAAAAAAAAACGGCTAAAAAGTTTACGGTATCGTAGTAGTAATGGTCGTTTCGAATCGGAAAAAAAAGAAAAAAGGAAAAAGAATTTGACCAATGTTTAACTTTTCATCGATTATTTCTACTGACATACGTTTTTAATCATCGTCTACCAACAATTTTTATTAAGTTTACCTACGTTAATGTTAATTATCGCGATCGGGGAAGGGAAAATGATTTCGTTATAGTAAAACATTGATTTATTTCGTGCGACTTCCTAATCGTATCTAATGGATTCGTTAAAGAGACGGAATCTCGTTTGTTTGCGAGCCTCGGAAAAAGCGCATTGAATTCGATTGATACGAGCGTGAATTTCGTAATGTCTCGTTGCAATATGTATTCCCGACGCATATAATCAAACGGATGTATATATATATATGTACGTGTATTTACATATACATGCACGCAGTATAAATCTTTTCCAATATGTATGTAAAATACACACATATACACATATAAATAAATAAATGAATAAATATATAAATGCACATACCTTTAACATAGAGCATAGTCGATTTGGAATATTCCGTACCAACAGAATTGTTCGCAACGCATTCGTATTTTGCTTGATCGTTGCTGATGGAGTTGGTAATTTGCAATGTTCCTGAAACAAACGAAAAAAAAAAAAGAAAAAATGAATAATATCAAAAATAATCCATTACCTACAAAAATTACATTTCCTATTATAATTCGTATCATTTTCGTTACATTAAAACGAACCTAATATATTTATGAGAAATATCCGATAGTAAGCAAAAAAAAACAAACAACCGTTCGAAGAATGAAAAATCTAACGAAATCAATCTACTTATGGCAAAAAAAAAAGACCCAAAAATCATTCGAACGAACAACGAAACGAGAGTTAGGGTTTATAAGTTAACGAACGTCTGTATTCTGCTTGACTTATGAACCTTTTACTTTGTTTTTCGTAGCTTAATAGAGTTCCTTCCTACCGTGCTGAGAAGAGGCGTGGAGGTGTTTTCCCCATGGTTTGTTGTGAAAGTGCGAGTGAGTGTAAATGAGTAAGCGAGAAAAGGAACGATGAGAGTGGGTGGGAGGTAGGGGGTAGTGGGTAGGGGGAGGGAAACGGAGAGAGAGGGAGAGAATGAGACTAGCAAACATTACCCTCTATACCCTCATCACCCTCGGCCAGTTCGTGCAAGGTTTCGACGATGCATCAACCCCTTAGCACGATACCGCAATGATGAACTGGCTGTTGCGAGGCGTGTGATTATCTTCGCCCGACGTCACTCCTCCGGTATAATTTAACTCCCAACGAAAGTTCGCACAAGCTATACACACCTGCCACCACCCTACCACCACCACTACCACCCTACCTACCACCACCTCGTTCCAACTACCTTTTCCTCTTCCTATCTCTTTCCTTTCTCGCGAATTAGACTACGAGGAAGAGAAGGAAAAGGAAAAGGAGAAGGAAGAGGGGGCAAGGAATAGGAGGGTGTGGGAGAGGGGGAGGGGTAGATTCGCTTGAGTAAACAATGCGCCAAGCAATTCTCCCGAGAATCTTTGCAATTCTTAATTGCGCGACGTCTCGTTCATCATTGAGAATACTAATCGAAAATCTTAAGGGAGTATTCTCGAGAAATTTCTCTTATCGATCTCAAAGGAATAAGAGAGAGAGAGAGAGAGAGAGGGAGAGGGAGAAAGAAGGGATGAGATAAACCACGATGGAAAAGAGAGAGAGAGAGAAGGAGAGAGTAGATATCAAAAAGGCAAAAGCTGGTCTTAACGAGGCCTTCTCTTTCTTCGAGAAACGAAGTTTGTGAATTGAACTCGAAAAGGGTTGTTCTCTCTCCCCCCCTCCCCCTGCCCCTGCCCCCTACCCCTTGTTCCCTGCCCGTTTCCTCCCTTTTTCCTTCTTTTTCTCTAGATTATATCGTATGCAAAGACACAGTTAGAGAAAGAGAGAGAGAGAGAGAAGAACATGCTCGACAAGAACGTAGATACGTTTGCTAATGGAAGGTCTGCTTTCGGTAGCACAATCAACGGTGAAATCGAACCTGCAATCAACGTTAGTCAGATAGTACTCCTGCCATTACCTATTCAACCTGCTTAATTTAAACCTGCAAGAATAGTGGACCACCTACTTTAGCATCGACAATTTCGATAGTTTCTAACCGAGGAATAATGGGTCATAGGACTTTTTTTTTTTTCTTCCCTATATGGTCTTTTTTTCTCTTCTTTTTGTTCTTCTTCTTTTAGCTCGAGGAAGTTTTTATGAAAGAAAGAGAGAGAGAGGGAGAGAAAAGAAGGAGGGGTAGTCGTGTTGAAGGGTCGCAAAGGGTAGAAAACACTCCATCACACGAAGTAAGAAGGTTGGTAGGTACCTGGTCTGATATCTTGTACGATCGGAATACGTAATCGTGCCTCATCTACAATTTCTCGTAAACCGAGCAGGAAAGAGAACGCGTGGCCATAACGTTAGAGGATCTTTCTTCGAGTCACGTGCCCATTGTTAGCACTACACACACCCAACGAAAAAGTTATATGGTTTTATTTTTTCTTCTTTTTTTTTTTCTTTCCCTTTTTTTCTTTTAAAGGACCGTTCGAATAAGCCGGAAGCAGTTATTTTCTTTTTCTTTTTCAATTTTCTTTTTGTTTCCCCTTCGAATGGGATACACCACTTTCCTCTCCCCCATGCATGTTATAATAGTTAGCTTTAATAAATTAACAAAATAAATTTATTTTGTTAATTTGTTCGAATTATTTTCTTTGTTTTTTTTTTTATATTATTTATTATTCGGTATATATATGTATATTAAATGTAATTGACCATGTAAGAAATTTTGATTCGTACTACTTAAAGTCTGCCTGATTTTCTGACAAAGAACTTTGATTCGTACTACTTAAAGTAGTCGATAACTATGAGAATATTATTCAACATATTATTATGAAAAGATTTTTATAAAAGATTGTTACGTTACATGTTTCGAATATTGAAACTTCTCTACACTGATATACTAATTTATAATTAAGTTAGGTATCTAAGTATCTATATGTGTACTTATACATCATGAAATAAATTGATCAGAGATATATATATATATATGTATTTAAAGGTTAACGTAAAGTTACAAGTAAACTACTCTCGATGACGAACGATTAACTTGGAGAAGGTAATATGAGTTTTAGTCGAGGAGGAAGAAGTTCTCTCTCTCTCTCTCTCTCTCTCTTTCTCACCCTTATACTTGTCTTGTTATGAATTGTACATGATCGACGCACGCGAAAATTTTCACGAAAATCGTGTTTAGAAACGTACTGACAGTTTCTAATGCAGTATATATGTATACGAGTATACCAACGTTATAGAAAAGATGAGACTCTGACGTTACCTCGCGTAACAAGATACGTTAAAACGTTTCAAAATAAATAAACAACAAATAAAGAAGAAGAAGAAGAAGAAATAGCTAAAAACAAAAAACGTAAAGGAAAGCAAGAATAGTAAAAAAAAATATCTCGCTGAAGAAAAAATATTTGTGTACTATTCTTTTCATAGGAGAGAGAGAGAGAGAGAGAATTATCATATTTTTGTATCTTCTATTATAGTAAGGGTAAGAGAGATTGTTGTTGAAATAACTTAAATCACAAAATTCGATTGTAAGAGAGGGAAGAAAGAGTCTGATGGGTTAGTATATGCATATATATACACACACACATATATATTATATATCTACTTGTTCTCTTTCTAGGCTCTGCTCAAACACAGTCTCGACGAGTAGACAGGTAGAAGTATACTTTACGATCGAATGCCTTCAGTGTAAACATATTCGTTATTTGAATTCTATCGAGATCGAATTCTCACTTCGTAGTATAGTACATGCTATTACCACCATCACCACCACCGTTACTACTACTACTATTACTAAACGCAGCAGACACAAATTTACTCTCCGCACTTTTTTTTCCTGAGCCCTCAGCGTGAGAGTAACTACCACCAGGCCCTCATTATCGGCAAAGCCTCCCTCCTCACTTATTTTTCCTCTCGCAAGATACGACGAGGGTGAGTAGTTACGAGGTTTGGATGCCATATTCGTGAAAAACGTTTCCTACTACGATGTTACATTTGTGTAGACTATCATTGTAGACATCCGTGGAAACGCGTCGTGACTATATTTCGCATTTGCTCTACTCTTTTCCACCCATCCCCCCACACACTACCTTCTCCTCCTCTTTTTCTTCTTCTTCTTCTTCTTCTTCTGGCAATATTAAATGTAAGGAAAGATATTTCAATATTGATTCACAAATACGATGTAGGTGGAAAACGTGCACGGAGTAAAGGTGTATATGAGAAAGAGAGTGTATATGTGTGTTTGTGTGAGAGAGAGAGAGAGAGAGAGAGATGGTTCTCTTGTCGTCTCAACTTCCTCTTTCTCTTTCCTGTTTCTCTCTCTCTCTTTCTCGTCCTTTTTTTTCTTTGCTACGTACCACGACATCCCATAAATATGTATACATATTTATGCCTAGCACATGCCATCCCCCTCCTCCTCCACCCCCCCCCCATAACCCGTCTTCTTTGGCACGCTTCGAAGAAAACGCCTTCGTCTTTCATTCCCCTTTACACTCCCCTAACTTCGAATGATCTCACTTAGACGAATTTTTCTTCGAGAAAGATTTTCCTTCTTTTCCTTTTCTTTTCATTATTTTCTTTTTCTCCCCCTTTTACGACCATTCATTCAATCACAATATTCATATTTTTTTTTCTTTGCTTCACGACAGACAATAGTATATGTAATTCAATTCAAATGTCATTTACGTTCCCGATTGTTTCTTTCCTTTTTTTTCTTTTTTTAAAGCATCGTGTATAGACTAAAAAAAAGTCTCTCCTAACTGTTGAAATATTCTCAATCTTTCAAGCAAGTGAATTTTCAATAATTCTTGCATAAAATATTCTAAAAAGAATTAATCGTAATTATTCTACGTATTGAATTCCGATCGTGGTTTCAATGAATAAATCGATACTTAAATTACAATTATTATGATAAAACTTTTGGAATATTTGTCAAACTTCTGGAAACGTATAGTTTCAATTCACACATAGATAATGACGATTAATTCTTGATTTCCTTTTCGTCAAAGATTCACGATAATAGTACGAAAGGAAGAAAGGAAGGGGATGAAAGAGAAAGAAACAAAGAAAGAGAAAGAGAAATAGAGAGAGAGAGAGAGAGAGAGAAAGAGAGGTGGGGGGAGTTTTTAGGGGTTGATTGGAAAGGGAAGATGTACGATCGCGTTCTACTTCGACTAATCAAAGAGCCGAACGTGAGCCGCATTAACGTCAAAAGCGGAATACTCCCCGGCGTTTAGCAGGATGGCACCACCGGATACAAGGGTGCGGGTAAACGGAAGATCATGCGGGCACAGGAATGTCTTTGGTAAAATGCTTTAAGCGTTCACTCGAGCGAGAACGTCGTTCGTCTTCCCGTACGTCTCGTGTTTTACCCCTTTACTGCAATCGTACAAAATACCTCAGCAGTAGTAGCAGCAGAAACAGTACCAGCAATTGCAAGCTACGAATGCGTTCACTAACAACCTGCTTTCTAATATTCCTCTCCCTCTTCTTCATCCCTCTTAACTACTACGACT